ATACATATATATATTTATATATATAGATATATGTTTCATACTTTATAATTAAATATTTAACGCCTATATGTCTATATAAAAAAGTGAGTATAAAATTGATATAAGTTATTAAAATTGATAAAGTTGATTCTTGATTAAATAAAATTTAAAAAATTTATATTAAATTATTAACTTTATTTTGGAAAATTGAAAAATATGAAACTTATTAAACTAGACATGACCGAAAAAATATAATTATTGCAAGCTTTTATTCAAATTGTATTGGATAATATTTACAGCTAAGTAAACCGTATAATAAAAGTTGAATCACATACATTTTAGCGCAAGATAACAGTACTTATGTATAAAATAATAAGCAGAATTTGTGTGTGTGTGTGTGTGTGTGTGTGCGTGCATGTGTGTGTGCGTGCGTGCGTGCGTGCGTGTATGTGGATTATTTAGGATTCATATTTAATGATATTTTGATTATAAAAAAATTGTATTTCGTTGCGCATATTATGCAAATAAATTCTTTTGTATACACATATGTGTAATAATATAACAGTTATGTACTTCAAGATATCTAGAGATAGAAGAGAAAAGAAATTCATCTCTTGAATCTATCTCGCGAATAATAATTGTTATTTATGTACAAATATTTTTTTCAATCATATTGTTTTATTTTTTACAATAAAAATGAATATATAAGAAACGATTAAAAAAAAACAATTTAAAATAAATTTTCTGTTTTTGAAAATTAGCAATATATTTTCTAGAAGAAATTTCAAGCAATTTTAAAAAATATATCTTTTTTGCAGAATCTTTAAAAAACTATATTTATTTTGTCTTTTTTTATATTCATTTGTGAATATTATGTTAATTGATTTTTTTCACGGATGTTATGTCCTGGATCATTTGATTCTTTTCTTGAATCACCTTGTATATGCTGAATACATCGTGTAACATCTACAGGTCGCGGTTGCGTCACAAATAAGCAGGCGAAGCTGGTATTTTTAATGGGAAGTCGAAGACTGCTTGAATAGAATGAGCTATCGGAGAGGGAAGCGACACTCGGTTTCTTTGATCAATAATGAAACTTCTCTTCGCCTTTCTTCTCTCTCTCTCTCTCTCTCTCTGTTTCTGTTTCCTTTTCTTTTTTCTCTCTCTTTCGTTGTCTTTGCTCTTTTTCTATTGGTCTCTCGCTTTCTCACCCTTACACGTCTCCTTAGTCGCTGTCTTATCTTATACATTTTTAACCCTTACTTCGGCCCCCGCATAGACAAGGAGAAAGACTCAAAGCGAGAGAACCAAGTTTTAACAACCCTTAAGATGTACCCCCAAGGCCACCGGTCCTCTTTCCTCTAGATAATCCACTCGGCAATCCATTCGCGCGTGAACCTCTATGGAAAAGGACTTGGTAGCCTGCATAGGAGCCTTCAAGGAATAGCTTCGAATACGAAGAAACGAGGAATTTGGGTCTTCGAGACTTCTTTAGAAGTCAATATAAGAATATTAAGGCTTCATTTAATACAGGGTAAGTATATTGCATTTATCGAAAACTCTTTTAGATATTCTTTGATGCATTTACAATCGATTTAATCTTAAGAAAAAATTGAGGAATAAATGTTATTCTTCACATACTTTTTTCTGACTTTAAATAATAACTTTAGCAAGTAATAATCACGTAGTAAAGTTTTTTGTTAAAATAAGCTTCGAAAAATATAATTTTGCAGTCTATTAATTATGTATATTCTTAAAGCGAAATTTCTCAAATATTTAATTTTCTATTTAATTTCCGTAATTTCAAGAAGAAATCGATTTTAAATTAAAGAATTTCTCAATTAAAATCTGATGAGAACATTCTGTGATTATAATATGATAAGAATAAAACAAGATGTAGATATTTAAAAATGATGATAATTTTGATTAATTTGAATTTTGATTAATTTTTCTTTGCTCCTTTCTCGATTATGGAATATTTTTGTTAAATAAATTTAATTATATTTTTGCAAAACATTTTATTTTGTGTACATATAATAATAAAGATTTAAATTTAATGTGTATGTGTCAAGAGGTTCTTTAATTCTTATTTTTTAGTAAAAAAAAGTAATGGAGAAGTACGAATAAAGTTAAGAGGAATTATTATAAATTAATATGTAACATAAAAATGTAATATAAGTATATCCAATGTATAAAATAATAATATAGAATATCGATATAGATAATAGAATATCGATTTGTAACTTTACAATTTTTCAAACTTCCCCTGTGTCCAATGATGGGGACAGTAGAACATGAAACAACGTCGAGAGAGGGAATATCAGGATGAGGCTGGCACAAAGAAAAGCGCGGGGGCGGGGGATGAGGAGAGACTGCCGCGGTACGGGATAATGCTTAACAAGCCGACTTGAAAGGACAGCCGCCATTTTGAGTCAATACTTGAAAGTCTTTGCTCATTAAGAATATTTTACATCTACCTTCCACACTCTACGCAAGCGACATCACTGTTGCCTCCCTATAACCGGCGCCATCTCCGCTCTTCTTTCTCGTCCCCGTGCTAGGACTTTCTTTTTCTTCTCGTCTTCTCTTGCCCTCGGCTTCGAGAGTCGTTTTCCTCCTCTTCCTCCTCCCCTCCCCTCCCTTTTCCTTTTCTTTCTCATCTTCCTCCTTCACCTCGCGCAGGACGGCTGCACCCTCGAAGATGGAAGTTATTTACGCGGCACTCGGAGCACGCTTCACCGTCGCGACCCCGTAGCCGACCCTCATCCCCGACGTTTCGATCTGGTCTCCCCTTTGCCACGCTAACACGGTGCCCCCGCCTCATCGCCCTCGCCCTCGCCCTCATCAGGCATGCAGCAGCCACTGGGCAAGGAAGGGTGGCCAGCGCCAACCCCCCATCCCCATTCTCTCGACGAGGGATGGAGAAATCTCCGACTTCGCTATGGGGTCCACCTTCGCGCCCTTCCAGCAACGATGGGTAAACACCGTCCCATCTCGCGGCGTTTTTCCTAATTCCTACCCAATTTCGCTTTTAGCATTTCAATTTCTACCTTCCTCCCTCTCTTTCCTCTTATTTCCCCTGTCCGCCGCGTCGGAATGACGGATTATCGTCGGACGAGCAAGGGCTCGATACGGAAGAACCCTGTGGGCGAAATAGATGAGCGAAAATGACGAATAGCTGCATACGATGGATGAATGTTTATCACGAATCTGGGACAAGTCTTTCAGATTCTAACGTAATAGCAATTTTACAGTTGATAATAATCTATTGATAATGTGCACTATTATTACATTGTATTTGCGACAAACGATTCCCCTATTTTATAACTTTTGACTTTTATATACGCGAAATAGTCACGTGGAAAGAATGAAGATAATTTTTTATCTAATAAATCCTTGTTACAAAACATAAAACTCACAATTATACTTGGTAATATTTTCAATATAAAAATATAAGATAATTGCTATTTACGAATCTGGAATAAGTAACTTCAGATTCTTCAAATTGTACTAATATTACACTATTAATATTACTACGTTATTAATATTATTATTAGAAATGTAAATACGAGCTTCCTTTACATATAAATAATTATGGACGAAATTAAAAGTAATGATTTAATTGAAAATTAAATTACAGTAGTTACGTAAATGAAATGAACGTGTACATTAAATTTATGAAATTTAATGTATTTTTAATAAAATTTTATGAAAAGTACATTAAATTTCATAAATAATTTTCATAAAAAATACATTAAATTTTATATTTGTATACATGTATACAAATATACTTTTTAGTTATAAATACATTAAATTTAATGTAATATCATGAAATTAAATTCAAAATTCATTGTGTAACTTAAAAGTTAATAAAATTTAAGAACATTTCTAACAGTGTATAGATACGTAATATATACTA